GATGGCTTCATTCTGTTGTACACAGGGTCGCTATGAGTGGGAACCAACTCGATGGCATCTAACAACAACACAGAAGTTTACAACAGTAAGGGGAACAGTGCAAATTGAGGGAAGGGAAGTGTTAACTCTACTCTGAAGACTCTCTGAAAAAAGAAGATCTTAAACAACCCATGCACTCAGGACTGAATGTCCGCTACTAGGCTTCTTATTCATTTGTGCACAAATGGTGGTGTGAGAAATATTGCACACTTTTTTTTAAGCAACTCAATTCAGACACTCAGCTCCCATCAGAGGATATTCTATTTCAGTCATTCTGAGATCCTACTTGTGGCAGATTGTATTTTCCAAGGATGGCTGCAACAATATCTCCCATCCCACAAGCTTTTCTAGAACTTTCCCACTTCTCCATTAAGAGAGGGAGACTATATCCCCTTTCCTTTGAACTTGAGGTCTTTGTGACTACCTCAACCAAAAGAACCAAGAGGAAGTAATACTATATGACTTCCAAGGCTAGGTCATAAAAAGCCATGTACTTCTACCTTGTTCTCTGTTTGCTCTTGAAACCCAGCTGCCACGCTATGAGGAAGCCCAAGCAGCCTGTGGAGGGCCTACATGGAGGGGAACTGAGATCTCCGGTTCACAGCTCTGGCTCAGCTCCTAGCTGACAGCTAGCCCCAAACTGTTAGCCATGTACGCGCACTATCTTGAAAATGAATCCTCCAACCTCCAAATGAACTGCCCCAGCTGACAGTGCATAGAGCAGAGATAAGCCTTCCCTGCTGGTGATGCTGTTGTTAGTTGCCCTCAAGTCAGCTCTGACTCATGCAATGGAACGTTGTCCAGTCCTGTGCCTCTTCATGATCTTTGGTATGTTTGAGCCCATTTTGGTGGTTATTGTGTCAATCCATCTCATTGAGAGCTTCCCTCATTTTTGCTGACCCTCTACCAAATATGATGTCCTTTTCTAGTGACTGGTCTTTCCTGATAACCTGTCCAAAGTAAGAAAGATGAAGTCTTACCATTCTTGCTTCCGAGGAGCACTCTAATTGTATTTCTTCGAAGACCGATTTATTCTTTTTTCTGGCAGTTCATGGTATATTCACTATTCTTCACCAACACAATTCAAATGCATCAATTCATCTTCTGTCTTCTTTCATTGCCCAGCTTTCACATGCATATGAGGCAACTGCAAATACCATGGCTTGGGTCAGACACATGTTGGTCATCAAAGTGACATCTCTGCTTTTTAGAACTTTAAGGAGGTCCTCTGCAGCAGATTTGCCCAGTGCAATATATCATTTGATTTCTTGACTGCTGCTTCCATGGGCATTGATTGTTGATCCAAGTAGAAGGAAATTGTAGAAAACTTCAATTTTTTCTCCATTTGTCCTGATGTTGCTTATCATCAGTTGTGAAAATTTTCATTTTCTGTATGTTTAGGTGTAGTCTATCCTGAAGGCAGCAGTCTTTGACCTTCATTAGTAAGTGCTTCAAGAAGTCTTCATTTTCAGCAAACTAACCAGGTAGACATCTTAAGATTTCCAAGAATTTAAATTTGAACATGGCCTTCTTGGTCATTATAAAGGATATTTGTCAAGGCAGGGGCTACACATATTTTGTTTTACAATCTGTTAAATATTTAGATGTAAGGTATGTGAATCTCTATTTGCACTCTTAACTTGGACGTCATGTGTTAGGGTAAGTTTGTGGAACAGGACCAGTCTCCCAGGCTATGAGCTCCTATAGGGAGAGCCTCTTCTCTGGGGCTGCAGGGGATGGTGGGGGAGCTGCCTGCAGACATGCCTTCCATGTTACCACAGCTGCCTCCATCTCTAATCTGGAGTGGCAGAGGCAGGAACGGGTAGCAGACGGGACTAATGCCAGGGCATTTCTGCCTTGGGGGAGGAGTGGGTGATGCGATCCAGTTGTTTCGCCAGCTGCAAGGCACCATCACAAATGCCCCCAGCTTGGGGGAAGGGATGTGAAGCAGGGTAGAAGAGGAAGGTATTGTAATACCCACTTTGCACGGGTTGGGTAGAGTGGGGAGCTGGAACCCGGCCCAGAACAGTCTAGCACAGTGATTCTCACTGTTTGGTCTCTGGATCAGCAGCAGCAACGTTATATGGGAGCTTGTTAGGATCTTGGCCTCTTGAGGGATAGATGGCATCCACGGCTGGGCTTAAAGCATTCTCCAACCCCACTCCCTTAACTTGGTGTGGAGATTCTATTGAGACTTTTTACTAGAAAGAGAACGTTTATTGAACATGCACAATGTCCAAGTACTTAGCCAAACACTTCACAAATACTATCACATTTAATGCTCAACATCCACCCTCAAACTGGTATTACTATTATGGTTGTTGCCATTGTTATATATAATAATTATTATTACTCCCTTCTTAAGGGCTCATTCCAGTGAGGTTAAGTACCCTGCGTTGGCTCACAAAGCCACCAGGAGGTTACCTAGGTCTGTGTGATTTACAAACTTCACCATTATGCTAAGCTGTGGTTCTCAAAGCACTTGGAGGCTTGTTAGAACAGGTTGTTGGGCTTCTCCCCAGAGTTTCTGATTCAGTACTTCTGGAATGGGGCCCAAAAATACACATTCCTAACAAGTTCCCAGGTGATGTCGATGCTGCTGGCCCAAGGACCATGAATGGAGGACCACTGTCTGGGCAACAATCCAGCTCCCAGCCCTACCCCACCCATGCAATGGGTGTAATCATAGCCTCCCCACCGTGGCGTTGTTGTGAGATGCCAGTGAGATAATGGAGTGAAAGAGCACTGTCAGCTCCTTCAGGTGAACAGTTTTGCTCATTAACCAGGTAATCTGCCCAAGGCTAGTCCCCTGGGGTCTGGGGGTGCAGAGAGGTGGGATGCAGGGCGGGGGCTCAACAGCCATCTAGAGCTCTTTTGAAGCCCACTTTAATTTGGGACCACTTCCCAAAGGAGAAAGCCAGCAGCTCCTGAGGGTTCAGGCCAGCCCTCCCTGCCACCCCCTTCCTCCACTCATCCTTTCCTGCCTTCCCTCAGGCAACGTGCTGGGCACTGCCCCAACCAGTACAGGCAAGCTGGGTAGCGTCAAGCCAGTGATTCAGGGCCTGGGGCTGGATCTCGCTCACCACCTCAAGCGTGAGATTCAGAGCCCATGATTTCCCTTCCCTAAGCCTCTGGTTGCTCATCAGTAATATGGGTGCAACACGAGTATCATGTGTTGTTGTCAGAATTCAAAGGTGAGTACTTTTTACAGTGCTTGATATAAGGCCTGGCCCCTGGTGAGTGTTCAATAAGTAATGCTGTTGTTGTTAGGTGCTGACGAGTTGGTTCCGACTTATAGGGACCATATATACAACACAACAAAACACTGCCTGGTCTCATGCCATCCTCGCAATTGTTGCTATGTTTGAGCCCACTGTTGCAGCCATTGTGTCAATCCATCTTGCTGAGGGCCTTTCTCTTTTTCGCTGACCCTCTCTACCAAGCATGATGTCCTTCTCCAGGGACTGATCCCTCCTGATTAACATGTCCAAAGTACATCAGACATAGTCTCACCATCTTTGCTTCTAAGGAGCATTGTTGCTGTACCACCTCCAAGACAGATTTGTTCATTCTTTTGGCTGTCCATTGTATATTCAATATTCTTCACCAACATCATAATTTAAAGGCGTCAATTCTTCTTCGGTCTTTCTTATTCATTGCTTAGCTTTCGCATGCATATGAGGTGATTGAAAATACCATGGCTTGGGTCAGGCGCACCTTAGTCCTCAAAGTGACATCTTTGCTTTTTAACACTTTAAAGAGGTCTTTTACAGCAGATTTGCCCAATGCAATAAGTTGTTTGATTTCTTAACTGTTGCTTCCATGGGCATCGACTGTGGATCCAAGTAAAATGAAATCCTTGACAACGTCAATATTTTCTCTGTTTATCATGATGTTACTTATTGGTCCAGTTGTGAGGATTTTTGTTTTATGTTGAGGTGTAATCCATACTGAAGGCCAGGCTGTCTTCCAAATTTCTTGGCATAGACGAATGAACGTTTCTAGTTTTGTATCCATTTGTTGAAACATCTCAATTAGTATTTCGTCAGTTCCTGGGGCTTTTTTCACCACTGTGGTTGGTGCAGAGTGGACTACTTCCTTCAGTAACATCGGTTCTTGATCATTTTACATTCTGAAGTGGCTGAATGGTGACCAATTCTTTTTTGGTACTCTGTGTATTTCTTCCATCTTCTTTTGATGCTTCCTGCATCATTCAATATTTTGCCCATTGAATCCTTCAGTATTGCAGCTCCAAGCTTGACAATAAATAATAGCTGTTAGTGCTTTCAAAAAGCGCACGGGCCCAGGCCTCCTCCTGATACAGGCCCTGACTTGGAAGGTAAACCGTTCCCACGCCGTTCCCCGGATGTACGCGCCCTGGAATGCCAGCGTCGGGTCCCGGGCGGCCGCACTGGGTTGGGATTGGCAGCATGGGCAGTTCAGGAAGGCGCTCAGGCAGAGATGGGGCGCGCCTGAGGCGTGGCTTCACCCTGGTCGGGCCAGGGGGCGGGGTCAGGCCCGGAGGAGAAAGTGAAGGAGGCGGGGACGGTAGGCGGACGTAGGGAGCGGGACAGTCTGGCGAAGAATGTGAGGAAGGTGGGGGACGGTGGGCCGGCCTGTGGGCACTGGGGACTCGGCGTCAGCGGTCTGGGAAGGGGCGGGGAGGAGGGAAGCAGCGGAGGTACAGGACCGTTAGGCAGGGCCGGAGAGTGGGGCTTCCCACTCAGCAGGGCCCGAGAGCGTGGCCTGGCAAGGCTGGGAGTAAAGGCTTCAAACGAACAGGGCCGGAAGACGAGGCCGGAGGGGCTGGGGGCGAGCCAGGATAGATTGGGGCGGCCATAGAGGGGCGGGGCTGGCGGTCCTGAGTAGAGACGCTTGGGGGCGTGCCCAGGGGCGGTCCTGGGGTGGGGCCTCTGAGGGGCGGGGTCTGGCCCGAGGCTGCTGTGTTTTCCTAGGCCGCCGCCGGGAGGGGGCCTGCGGAGTGACTGAGCCCCGCGCTGCGCGGTCGGACGCTGACTGGGGTGGTAGCCGGTGTCGCTGGGCTTGCAGCGCCGAGCAAAAACCGGAGCCTACAGGTGAGAAGGGGTAGGGGAGGCCAGCCGGACATCCAGAAGCTGAGTTAGTTTTCGCTTCTTCTCCCAGAGCCGGCCTGGACAGCTTTCTGGGAACAAGTGACAGGTCGGGCCGCGGAGGCAGCTGGCGGGTGAGAAGGGGCACTGGCTCTCAAGTTCTCACTCCAGTTCTCCGGCTCCGCTGTGCGCCCGCTGTGTGGCCTGGAGGGGGGACCGCCCCCCCGGCCCTGGAATTCTCGGATTCCAGTAAAAGGAGGTTGAACCAGGTGAACCCCTAGGCTCCAGTTACCTTTTCTCTCTCAAATCCCGGAAGGTGAGAGCTGGCAGGTGAGAGCCAGCTGCAGCGCAGCCACAGGTCTCCCGGGGCAGTCGCGCTGCTGGACTTTAGTTTCTCTGTGCAGAATGGGGCTGTGCACAGCGAACTCTCGGGGAGCGTGAAGCGAACTGCTGTAAAGATCACCCTAGTTTTTCGGATGGGGCTCAAAGTCCCAAGCCCTGGGGAAGCCAGGGGGCTTTCCACTCCTCCACCCCAAGTCTTGAGAGCTCAGCCGAAATGGCCCCCTAAGACTTCAGGTCGGAAACTCAGAGAGGCTTTTGGCCACCTCTAGAGATTTTTCCTAGGAAGCCCCGGGCGGAAACCAGAGGACAAGTTCTTATCAGGGCGAGTGAGGAGGAGAAGGGAAAACCCCATTGAACCTTGAGCCTGTCAAAGCCAGGGCCCAGAAGCTCTTGTCCCACACCCAAGGTTAGTTACTTGGGCTGGAGGGTTCTGTACCCAGTGGTGGTATGTGGTGGCAGGTACTCTGTGCCAGGCCATAGTAACTGGGCCGCCTAGCTCAGTGGTCAAGGGTTTGGGCTTTGGGGTCAAACTATCTTGGATTCCACTCCCCCTCCAAACTTCAGTTTCCTCATCTGTAAAACAAGGGCAATGGCAGTGTCCAGTGGTAGTAGCAAGGGCTGGATAAGATAGTGTGTGTACCTCACTACATGACAGCTGCTCTGATGTGGATGGGCAGGTGACAGGCTGGCTTCCTGCTGGAGAATGAGCTCATTTTTTTTGGAGGTGGGAGGCTGGCTGCAGCCCCTTTTGACTTTGTGAGGGATGGCCAGAAACTGCCACCTGCCACCAGCATCACTCTGTCCATCTGGAGGGTGGGGAGTGTGTCACCTGGACCAAAGAGTGGCTGAGTTTTTTTTAATCTTATTTGAGGCTGGTGGGTGTTCAACTAAATAAACCACAAATATGTACTGGGCACCTACTGCATACTAGACACAAAAATAGGGGACACAGAGGTAAACTATCCAGCTGGGCTCTGCCCTCATATTGAGTGGCTGACAGTGAGGGCTCCCCTAACCCCACCATGCCCCGCTGAAGAGGGTAACTCACACCCAAGACTTGCAGTCAGGAGGGATTTCATGGGTCTGTACTGCCCTAGTAGCTGGAATCCAGCTATTCCATTACATACCTGGCTTGGTGTGGAGGTGGGAGTCCAGTGTGGGCACCTGTTGTCTGTCTTGAGTGGGGCTAGGCACTGAAGAAGACACAAGGTGCTGCCAGTCTGCTCCCTGTGTCTTCTGGGGGGAGATGAGCCATGCACTTTAGAACCAGCTGGAAAGTACTGTGAAGGCTGCCCTGTGGAGGAGACCGTGCATGTGAGTGTGTGTGTGTGTGAGTGTGTGTGTGTTCTGAAGATATGAGACAGTGGAGAAACCAGAATTTGGGGGAGGGAGCTTCCTGAAGTCAGTGAGACTGGAGCAGGACTTCTGCCTGCACTCCCAAGTACTAGTTGAGCTTGGATCAACTTGGGGCACTGAGTCCCCGCCCCTCTCTGAGCATCTGTGAGTGTAGGATTAGAGTCTGGCATAGTGGGAGAGAAAGAGATTAGCGGGTGGTGCAGGGGGTAGGGAGGAGAAGAGGTTCATGTCAAACAGTGCTTATTAAATATCTAATGGAAAGTCCCTCCCCCACCACACAATGACAAGTGATGACACACCGCCCCCACCCTCAAGTTGCTTAGCCTCTGGGAAGGGGCTTTGACAAGACGACCAGTGACTCCGTACATGATAAATGAAAAAGGAATTGGAGGGATCTGGAAAGCTTCCTGAGGAGGCGGAGTTTTGGATGTGCCTTACGGATTGAGAGGGTTTCAGCAGCCAAAGGGAAGATGGTTTTTCAGGCAGAGGAAAATACCTCAGCAAAAGCAAGGAGGTCAGAATGCTCGGGATTTTCAGGAAACTGCTAGGTAAAGCAGTCTGGCCAAGAATTGGGACTGTGCAGGGGATGGGAAGTGCGAAGGGTATGTTGGATCAACTCGTGGAGGGCTTTGTATCCAAGGCAAGGTGTTTGGATTTGGTTTGTAGACAGTGGGGAGCCACTGAAGGTTTTTGAGCAGGGGAGTGATGTAATCAGAGTGGCACTTTAGTAAAGGCAATCTAGATGTGCTAGGGTTGGAGGATCCAGTGGTCAAAGGAAAACAAGCCAGTGGCTTTGTGATGGGGAAGGAGGGGGCTGGGTAGCTTCGGGGACATCTGCAGCTGGGGGCTGAAGGAAAAGGCACTGGCTAGGGGGCTGGAAAAGGTGTGGTCAGAGGGAAGACAGGGTGGCACAGGAGAGGAGTGTTCTAGTGTATGCTCTGTGTCTCCTTCTATTCCTGCACCCAGCCGAGACCCTGGCACATATGATTATTGTTAGCTGCCATCAAGTCGGCCCCAAACTCATCGTGGCACCATATACAATGAAACTGGACTGTTGTGATCTCTGGGGTTTTCACTGACTGATTTTCAGATAGTAGATCACCAGGCCTTTCTTCCTAGTCTATCTTAGTCTGGAGGCTCTACTGAAACCTGTTCAGCATCACAGCAATACACAAGCCTCCACTGACAGACGGGTGGTGGCTGTGCATAAGGTGCATTGGCTGGGAATCGAACCTGGGTCTCCTGCATGGAAGGCAAGAGCTCTACCACTGAACCACCATTGCCCTCACAACCTGGCACATGGAAGGGGCTAAAAACAGTAGCTGTGTTTGGAGGGAAGGTGTGCTGAAGAGGGCGATGAGTGCTACTGACTGATGGGGAGGGGCCTCCAAGAAGGCCCTTGGGTTGGCCCATGAAGGGGAGGCATTTTGGTCAAGTGGTGTGAGCTAAACCGGCCAGCGGTGGGTTTGGGAGCAGGGAGGATGGGAAGACATGCCTTAGGGGCTCCTCCCAGCCCTAGCTCAGGGAGGGCAGGGGTGAGAGGTTAGCCATGTACACTTCTCTGGGGCCAGTGGGGTAGTCAGTGGGGCACAAGTCCTCTACATGGGTTGGGGGAGGATTTCCCATTTGGTTCCCCTGGGCTCTGAAGTTGCTGCAATGCAGGGGCAGCCCCCCTCTTGACGCCTCATACTTTTGAGCCACAGCCTGGAAGCTCCTCCTCTTCACTCCCCCTTCACTCACACTGGGAACACAACCCCTGCTCCCCCTTCCCCTTCCGCCAGGATGAAACAGACCTCTCTGGTCAAGGCTGAGAGAGAACCAAAGCCCTGAGCACTCCTTTGGCCCTGGAGTGTCTGGGAACAGCTGGCACCCCCTGGTTTTGGCTTGGCCTTGACCCCCTGTTCCAAACCATTATACCCACTTCATCCGCCCCACGGGAAGCTCTCGGTTGTGGTTTAACCTGGAAGATCAAACGGTCAGGAGTTAGCTCTGAGAGAAACGGAAAGGGAGGGAAGAGCCCCAGCCGCTTGGCTTCTCCGCCCCTCTGTAGGATGGGACAGGGCAAGGGCTGGGGGGGCCAGGGCGCCTGTTTAATCTCAGCAGGAGCTGCCCTGCCCACCAGCTTCCCCTCCTCTAAGCCTGGGTCTGAGGAGTTGGGAGGGAAGCCCAAGAGATAAACATGGGCCAAGGGATATGTGCTGCTTCCCTCCTTCCTGGCCCCCATGCCGCCCTGTGAAGAGGCAGCCAACCACAGCAGCCAGTTGACCTGTCTCGGGGGCTGCCTTGTTCCTGACTCACCCCCGGGGTTCCCCAACACCATGGTTTTCCTGTCAACAGCTGATTCACTCTGTGCTGACATGGACAAGCAGCTGAGGGCAGGGGAGAGGCCTGTACTCTGGTTCTCAGAATTAGTTCCCAGTGTTACACTTGACTTCTGTGTGACCTTAGACAAATTCCTTCTCCTCTCTGGGCTTCTCCTTCTGCTCTGCCAATGGCCCATTCATTACTCAGCTTTCAGGGGCTTCTTCGACCTGGGCTCTGTCCTATGTAAAGTGGAGTGTGTGAGCGTGTGTACACACACACACACAAACAATACAGTCTCAGCGCTGAGCTGGGCGGCTCCCCTCAAACATACAGTACTTCTTCCCACCTCCGTACTCTTGCTTACCTTGTCTTCTTGTCCAAAGCACCATCTCTTACCTTCTGCCTATCCACAGATTAGGAAGCTGGCATAGCATGGTGGTGAAGAGCTGCACTCTGGAGTTGGAATCTTGGCCCTGCCAATTCCTAACTGATGTGACCCTTTCTGGGCCTGGGTTTCTCAGTCTGTTAAACTGGGATAACAATGGTTAACTCAGTCAAAGGGTGACATAAAGAAAAAATGAAATAAAAAATCCATGTGTAATGCTTAGCACTTTTATGCCTACCCAACGAAAACCAAACCTGCTGCCACCAAGCTGACTCTGACTCACAGCAGCCTGATAGGACAGAGTAGAATTGCCCCATAGGATTTCGTAGGCTGAAATACTGACGGAAGCAGACTGCTACAGCTTTCTCCCACGGAACAGCTGGTAGATTCGAACCGCTGACCTTTCAGTTAGCAGCTGAGTGCTTCACCACTGCGCCACCAGAGCTCCTCCTTTTATGCCTAGCACGCAGTAAATGTTCAACAAATGGAAGCTGTTGCTATTTTCTGCACCTGGCTGATCTTTCAAGACTACACCAGTCTGCTTCTCAGGCCTCAGGGACATTCCCCAGAGTGCCCCCCTTCTGCACAGGCCCTCCACGCCCTCTCCAACATATGTGTG